ACCCGATCTCCATACACATTGTGTATACCACAAGTTGACGCGTTCTCCATACACATTGTGTATACCACAAGGTGACATGTTCTCCATACACGTTGTGTATACCACAAGGTGACACGATCTCCATACACATTGTGTATACCACAAGGTGACCCGATCTCCATACACATTGTGTATACCACAAGGTGACATGTTCTCCATACACGTTGTGTATACCACAAGGTGACATGTTCTCCATACACGTTGTGTATACCACAAGGTGACACGATCTCCATGTGTATGGAGATCGTGTCACCTTGTGGTATACACAATGTGTATTTACATACAAGTTACATCATGCTTATGGTACCGTTTCAAACAAGAAGACATATTTAGATACAAGTTACGTCATGCTTATGATACTGTTTCAATGTGTATGGAGAACATGTCACCTTGTGGTATACACAATGTGTATGGAGATCGTGTCATCTTGTGGTATACACAATGTATATGGAGATCGTGTCACCTTGTGGTATACACAAGTGTCTTCTTGTTTGAAACGGTATCATAAGCATGATGTAACTTGTATCTAAATGTGTCTTCTTGTTTGAAACGGTATCATAAGCATGATGTAACTTGTATCTAAATATGTCTTCTTGTTTGAAACGGTATCATAAGCATGATGTAACTTGTATCTAAATATGTCTTCTTGTTTGAAACGGTATCATAAGCATGATGTAACTTGGATGTAAATGTGTCTTCTTGTTTGAAACGGTATCATTAGCATGATGTAACTTGTATCTAAATGTGTCTTCTTGTTTGAAACAGTATCATAAGCATGATGTAACTTGTATCTAAAACTGCCTTTTTATTTACTGGTATAATCTTAAGAAAGTCCATTGATTCATCACAAGGTAATATAACTACTCTTCCTTATTACATAGATTAAAACTTAACCATATAAACTGAAAGTATGTATTAATATTGTGAACTGGGACTGGAATTGGTTTTCGATGTCATAAGACCACCATCAGAATATTTGAAAATGATAAGGGATTAGAAGGCTTATATACCTAAACCTTAACTAGATGTCTAAATAAAGTAATTTAATGTATGAATCACCATATATCTGTAAAACCATATAGCAAAAACAGTAGTTCTAATTAAAAGAATATGAATTATATAACACAGACAAGATATCATCTTTTTATCAGTAATTACTTTAAAATAAGACTGATATCTGTTATAGTTGATATAAATAGCATTCTGATTAATGCTTTATGTATTACATATCCAACCACCCTAACACGTTCTGGTATTGAGCAGAAGGCATTGTCTGCAGTGGTGTGAGATTGTGATGCTATTATGTTCTTCTTATTTCAAACTTGTAAAGAGCCAGTAAAGAAAAATTAAATAATTCTCAGTCTTATTGTGATGTATGTCACGCAAACTACCAATTAATATGAAGTTATGTGAAGAGGGTATGATACAGCTGTAAGGGGTAAATCTATAATTAATGTGAAGTTATGTGGAGAGGGTATGATACAGCTGTAAGGGGTAAATCTATAATTAATGTGAAGTTATGTGGAGAGGGTATGATACAGCTGTAAGGGGTAAATCTATAATTAATGTGAAGTTATGTGGAGAGGGTATGATACAGCTGTAAATCTATAAATATGAAATAAATATAATTTTGACCATGTTCTTAAACTTGATTTGTTTTTTAATTGGAGTTTTTCAATGAATTCTGTATTAACAAAGAAATTAAAATATGCAAATTTAACTTGTAATGATGAAGAAAACCTGGACAATCTAACTTAGCAGTGTCGTGATGGAGAAAACCTGGACAATCTAACTGAGCAGTGTCGTGATGGAGAAAACCTGGACAATCTAACTGAGCATTGTCGTGATGGAGAAAACCTGGACAATCTAACTTAGCAGTGTCGTGATGTAGAAAACCTGGACAATCTAACTGAGCAGTGCTGTAATGTAGAAAACCTGGACAATCTAACTGAGCAGTGCTGTGATGTAGAAAACTTTAACCAGCTCATTATTCAATGTGCTTTTGTTTACGTAGGAGTTTATTTCAAGAGAAGAAAGTTTTTAAGTTTAGATCATATATTCTAAACCATTTCAAAAAGAATATCAAACAATGATTATCTAAAATAAAAATCTCTAGTTTGTTATTCACATCTTTCCTTTTATTAGGGCAGCAAGACGGTGGACTCAGAGTTACAGTCCCAGATTGAACAACTTCGCGACACACAGAGGAAGTATGCTAACGTTCTTCGGCTGGCCCAGTCTCTGAGCACCCACTTTTACCATGTAGTACAAACACAGCATGCCCTTGCTGAGTCTTTCTCTGACCTAGCTCACAAGTCCCCAGAATTACAGGAAGAGTTTCTCTATAACTCTGAAACACAAAGGAACTTGGGAAAGAATGGGGACACTCTCCTGGGAGCTCTAAATTTCTTTGTTTCTTGCCTAAATACACTCTGCAATAAGACAGTAGAGGACACTCTACTCACCGTGAAGCTGTATGAAAATGCAAGGTAGGAGAATTTACTAGGCAGATTTCTTCCTACATGTTATATGTATATATTTATGTTAAACTCTCATGTACTGGATGTGATGTAACATCGTTCCGAGCTATGATTGTTACATGGAGTGCTTTGTTATTCTGGTGTTTTTCAATCCACAAATTACATATTAGTAGCCAGATATGTTATCATACAGTGTCTTTACATTATAAATAAAATACTTACTAATCCAAAGCCTATAGTAGGCCTATAATAAGTGTTGAATCAATTGATGTGGGACACTTCCTGGCATGAAGGCTTTAATATTAATGGTTATATGCAAATATATATATATATAACATTACAACTATTCATTCATATTTTGATTAAGTGCTTTATTGAAATATTTTTATCTGTTAAACATTGTTGCATTTAAATATTGTAGTAATAAGAGTATATTCATCTGTTATACACTATTGTGTTTAAATATTATTGTACTAATAGAATATTTATCTGTTATACACTATTGTGTTTAAATATTGTTGCAATAATAGAATATTTATCTGTTATACACTATTGTATTTAAATATTGTAGTAATAATAGAATATTTATCTGTTATACACTATTGTGTTTAAATATTGTTGTAATAATAGAATATTTATCTGTTATACACTATTGTTAAATTTTGCAGATCACCAGTAAACACTATAAGGCTTTCATACACAAAATATCAGATTATGTGATTAAGTTTTAAGATGTTTTAAGTAATGTTTTTCTCATGCCTTTTTCTTTTCAAATGTTGACTATACAACATGCAAAGTAATTTTGATTTTATAATTATAAATACTTTTACACATAAGAAAATTTTAAAATTTCACATGTGAAATCTTTATAACCTCCACATAATTATCAAACGTTTTTAGGAAATTTTTTATATTTTATCTGTTATTTTCACTATTGTATCTCTGAAGGGTTTGGTCAGTTTGACCGACCTTGTAACCACCATAAAACATTAGGAAATAGGTATAAATTATGCTTTTTTTCGTTCTAGAATGACTAGAAATGATACCACAAAAAACACAAATGTTTAGTCTAAATAGCTTAAACATCATAATATTATACATCTAGAAAATGCAATGATGCAGTGCACGTGCACTGATGTTACTGTATCCAAGAATATAAAACTGGCCTTTATAAAGTAACTTGTCTTGGCTGTGTTTTATTGGACTAGTATTTTGTAAAATGCAGTCACATTTCAGTTATAATATATTATATATGTATATAGATTATTACTATTTACATACAAGTTCTTCAGTTTCAGTTATCTTTCTTAAAATTTAGAACAGTAAATAAAGAAGCATACAAAGCAATTATCTCTTCTAGTTACTAATTCTGTAATCGTTTCCTACTTGCCATAAGTTGCTAAGCCTTATCAAATTTCACATGTGTAGAATGTAAAACAAAATATTTTTTTAAAGTTTTTATATATGAATTTTGAATATAACAGATAAATATTCTATTAGTACAACAATATTTAAACACAATAGTGTATAACAGATAAATATTCTATTATTACAACAATATTTAAACACAATAGTGTATAACAGATAAATATTCTATTATTACAACAATATTTAAACACAATAGTGTACAACAGATTAATATTCTATTATTACAACAATATTTAAACACAATAGTGTATAACAGATAAATATTCTATTATTACAACAATATTTAAACACAATAGTGTACAACAGATTAATATTCTATTATTACAACAATATTTAAACACAATATTGTATAACAGATAAATATTCTATTATTGCAACAATATTTAAACACAATATTGTAAAAGAGATAAATATTCTATTAGTACAACAATATTTAAACACAATAGTGTATAACAGATAAATATTTTTTTATTGCAATAATATTTAAACACAATATTGTATAAGAGAATAAATAGAATATCAGGAGTGTTTGTTTTGCCTAATCTAAGAATGAAGTTATCAGGAGTGTTTGTCTTGCCTCATCTAAGAATGAAGTTATCAGGAGTGTTTGTCTTGCCTCATCTAATAATGAAGTTATCAGGAGTGTTTGTCTTGCCTCATCTAAGAATGAAGTTATAAGGAATTTTTGTTTTGTCTCATCTAATAATGAAGTTATCAGGAGTGTTTGTCTTGCCTCATCTAAGAATGAAGTTATAAGGAATTTTTGTTTTGTCTCATCTAAGAATGAAGTTATCAGGAGTGTTTGTTTTACTGCATCTAAGACTGACGTTATCAGGAATGTTTGTTTTGTCTCATCTAAGACTGAAGTTATCAGGAGTATTTGTTTTACTGCATCTAAGAATGAAGTTATCAGGAGTGATTGTTTTACTGCATCTAAGAATGAAGTTATCAGGAGTGTTTGTCTTGCCTCATCTAAGAATAAAGTTATCACGATTACAAAAGTACAGGGGGGAGTTACTGCAGTTGTGAAGCCCTCGTGTTTGTAAAGGACTTTGTCGTGTGATAATGTTATCATGCACCAGTGAAGTTCACATTAAACATGTTAATTTTAGTTAGCTCAAGGCTAGTGGCAGACATTCGATGAAAATAGATGTGAGTTATCAGAAATCCATTTTTGGATTATGAAGATGTTAACTTTAAAAACTAGTTGAAACTGTTTATTGCAACTAGTTTGAAATACTCTTGTTTATACTTACCTTGTAATATAAATAATTACAGCATGTTAATTGATATACCTTTCAATATTCCTTCTAATTTTTCTTTGTACTTAGCAGACTACAAACTTTTCTGTTCATAGACAGTTTTGGTTTCCATTACTTCCTAAAGCCTTTCTCTTATATAGTTATAGTACCAGTAATCCAGCCTTACAGTTGGATGTTGAAATATGAAACTATTACTAACTGACTAATTAGTAAGTGGCATGTTGTTTTCAATGCACAAATGTTTACCAGATTCCTGTGCAGCCACACATGCTCACAGTTTAAAGGTAACATTTACACTAACTAAAGGCCTATAACTGATTTTACCTAAAGTAAGAGTCAAAAGATTTGTCATGCATGACCTGAATTCCTGTTATTTTCCTGTAAATCGTATGATTGCTGTTAAAGAAGTTGATTCATAAAACATGAAATAAAACCTATTCTGTCTAATTCTGGCAGATTGGAATTTGATGCTTACAGAAGCGACATGGAAGAAATGATACAAAGTACACGAGGAGATGCAGCATCTTCAAAACTAGAGGAGGCAAAAAGAAATTTCTCCTCACACAAAGAGAAATATGAAAAACTAAGATCTGATGTAATTGTAAAGATGAAGTTTTTAGAAGAGAATAAGGTATGTGACTCCTTGCACATCTATAATAACATAAGATCTGACATGATTGTAAAGATGAAGTTTTTAGAAGAGAATAAGGTATACGACTCCTTGAACATCTATAATAACATAAGATCTGACGTGATTGTAAAGATGAAGTTTTTAGAAGAGAATAAGGTATACGACTCTTTGAACATCTATA